CGGCGACGTCGGCGGCGGCCGAGGCCGCCGGCCTGAGGGCGAGGCTGCGGGGCGGCGCGCTGCGGCGGCGGCGGCAGCGGCCGGCGGCGGCGGGGGCGGCGGCGGCGCTGCAGGCGGCCAAGCCAGGCCCTACGTGGGCGGCCGCGCGCAGCAGCTCGCCACCCACCCAACCCCAGCCCAACCCGAAGCCCTCCATTGGCCCTCCATGTCCAGCTGGGGGGGGGGTCGGGGAACGTTGAAGAAACACAGGGAACCCGTACCCCCCCCCAAACCCGCCAGATTCGGGGTCAAGTTCGGGCCTTCGGGTGGGGTTGGGGTGGTCTGGTAGGTAGTCAGCAGCTGCCGGGGGCGGCGGCGGAGGTGGTGGCCATCTTCGAGAGCGCCACCTCGGCGGCGGGCCTGGCCTGGCTCCAGCAGCAGGGGAGGCGGCGGCCACCGGACAGCGAGCGCGGCTGCCGTGCGCGCAACGCGGCGGGGGCCTTCCTGCGCCACCCTGGCGAGGGGGAGGCGGTCCTCGCGCAAGTACAGGCTTGGCTGCAGGGTGGTGCAGAGGCCAGGCTCACGGCCTCGGATACCGCCCAGAACAGAGGCATCGAGCAGGAGGGCGAGAGCTTTTCCGTGGGGGCCGAGGCCACGTGCGCTGTGGAGTCCTTCGACCTGGCTTCGTCTGTGGCGGAGTCGCAGGTTTGGAGTGGGGACGTGCTGGACTCGTACCGGGAGCGACGTGGAGCTCAGTGAGCAGCTGGCGGGACACTCGGCTGCGCAGGAGTGTGCGAAGGAGGTCCAGCAGGCCTCGGATCTCGTCTTGGGCTTGGGGTTCGCGGAGGCTGAAGGCGGGATCTTCGTGGAGGAGGGCGCCGCGGCATCCTTCGACCTGGCTTCGTCTGCGGCGGAGTCGCAGGCATGGGGCAGCGCTGACCACGAGAAGGAGCGGGGCCAGACCGAGCACAACGGGGAGCTCAACATGCTGCAGGTGGGCTTCGACGGCTCGGCCGAGAAGGACGTCGAGTGCGTGCGGGACATCACGGAGCGGCTGGCGGCGGTGCACACGAAGCTGTTTTCCTTGCAGCTGTTCGGTGCCTCCGATCTCCCAGTGGGCTTCCGTGAGGCGCTGGAGCAGCAGCGGGCCCAGTGGTGCAAGTCCCTGGGCATCGAGGACGGCTTCGGCGCTGCGGTCGCGAAGGAGCGGTTCGACGCGGAGCTCGACGAGCAGGTGGCGAACGACCATGCTGAGTGGGAGCGTGGCGGCGTCGGCATCGACGGAAAGATCGGGGAGCTCGAGAACGAGTTGGCGGCGGCGGCGGCAGAGGCTGCCCGCGCCGCGGTGGACGCGGAGCTGGTGCAGGCGAAGGTGCGGGCCGCCGGCTTGCGGGCCCAACCGGTTTCTGAGGCGTGCGTCGACGAGCTGACGTACCCGCACCTGGCGGCTGAGGTGGCGGTGGCTGACCATGCGGCGTCGGCTGGGGTGGCGGGGGCTCGAGAACGAGTTGGCGGCGGCGGCGGCAGAGGCTGCCCGCGCCGCGGTGGACGCGGAGCTGGTGCAGGCGAAGGTGCGGGCCGCCGGCTTGCGGGCCCAACCGGTTTCTGAGGCGTGCGTCGACGAGCTGACGTACCCGCACCTGGCGGCTGAGGTGGCGGTGGCTGACCATGCGGCGTCGGCTGGGGTGGCGGGGGCATCGGCGGATGGGGATTTGACGGCGGAGCCAGGCTGGGAGACCCCGAAGGGTCGACCAGGCCGAGAGGGAGGCGAGGGCTCGCTCAGCAGTGCGGCGCAGAGCCGTGGCTGCGGTGCCGTCGGCCTTCCCAGAGGCACACCATAAAGAACGGTTCGAGCACGCGGGAGCAGCACTGGCTGCCGCAGGGTGTGGGGGGCCCGAGCCTGGAGTTCAAGGCTGCGAATAGGGCCTCAGGTGGCAGGAGGCGCTGCAGGTAGCCGCCAAGCGGGAGCGGCGCAGGCATCACTTCTGAACGCATAGCTATGGGCGCTCAGGATTCCATTGCGTCCAGCGTGCGCCTGAGTGCTCGGCCAACTTGGAGCAGCACTGCGAGGCGTCTGTCGGCCTGTGAGCGGCGTGCTTAGGTGCGTGCGTTCCTGCTGCCCTCGGCTCGGGTCTCTTGGTCGGGTGCGGGGCCGTCCTGGGGCGCACTCCTGGCAACCCCGCCGAGGTCTCCAGGGTGCTGCTTGGGGGGTCTCTGGTCTGGGCCCCTGGGGGGGGGGGGGGTCGGGCCCTCCCCGCGGGGGCCCGGCGCGTGGCTGCCGGGGTCCGCGCGGGTCTCGACGGGTGCCTGCTCCCGTCGGTGCCCTGCCGTGGGTCCCCGTCGCCGCGTGGGCTCGGGTGGCGCCGCCGCCCGTCGTCCGGAGCGGTGGTGGGCTGGGCTCGGGCGGGCGCGAGGGAGGCGCCGCGCCTGAGGAGGAATGTCAGGACCGTTCGCGGCGTCCGCGGCCTGCGGGACCGCGCGCGCTGCCAGGCGGTGCGCAGAGAGAGAGAGAGAGAGAGAGATTGAGAGAGAGAGAGAGAGAGAGAAAAAAAAAGAGAGAGAGAGAGAGAGAGAGCGAGAGAGAGAGAGAGAGAGAGAAAAAAAAAGAGAGAGAGACGCGCACACACGCACACATTCACACAGACTGGCCGCGAGCGGAGGGGGCGGACTGGGGCAGGAAGGGGAGCAGGAGCAGGAGCAGGTGGAGGAGGACAGATAGAAGGAGGAGGAGGAAGAGGAGGAGGAGGATCATAGGAAGGCTGCGAGGCGGATGAGCAAAAGGATAAGTGTCGTCGTCATCACCAACACCATCATCATCATCATCATCATCATCATCATCATCATCATCATCATCATCATCATCAGCATCATCATCATCATCATCAGCAGCATCAGCAGCATCAGCATCATCATCAGCAGCATCAGCATCAGCATCAGCATCAGCATCAGCATCAGCATCCGTAGCACCACACCGCGAGCTCTAAAGGCATTTGTCTCGAGTGCAACATACCTACCATGAGACGGAGAATCCGACTCGGACCCAACTGGGTGAAATAGTTTTCCGCAGCTGCGTTTGGCAATGCCAAGCAAGCCAGGGCAGCGCAGTCCAGTGCAGATCATTGATATGAAAAACGCGTCAGCTCAACGCGGGCCTCCTCAGCACAATGCCATGCAAATCAGCATAATGTAATACGCACCCCTTCAAAAGACAACGACTCAGTGAAATCGGTCCAAGCTGTGCGCTGCAGGGCAATACAATGCATCGCATTGCGATGGAACGCAATGCCGTTCAGATGGGTGCAGGATAATTTCAAAGATGCGCGGAGCAACGCTACGTCATGCACCACAATGCTACCATGGCAATGCATCGCAATGTAAGAGGGTGCAGCAATGTTCGCAAAGCGAATCAAACCAACACCGCAAACGGTCATTCTTATTGCGAGTCGGAGCAACGTACCACACTGTAGAGCCATGGTGATTACATCAAAACCAGACAACATTGGGCAGCGCAGAATGTTGCAAAACACGCGACGCAACGCAATATAATGGCAATGCAGCGCGGCCCATACTTGACCGATGCAACGCGACAACAATCAGGGCTTCGCAAAGCACGGCAACGCAGCCTCGAGGAGGCCCCGATCCACTTGCACGGGACGCCTCGGAACAACTCAAGGAGCCTTCGGGGACCTTGCGGGACAGCTGCAGCATTGCCAGCGGTCTTCTCCTGCACTGGGTGCAGCGGTCGGCAGGAGCGCGAACATCTGACAGGGAGGGAAGCGGCGGCAAGATCGGATAGGAGAACGGGGGGCCTTTCTGCACCACATTGGATCGCGAACATGTTGTGGGCGGCGCCAGGAGAGAACACCCAGGAGAAGCATTTCGGATGGTGGCTGTAGCGATGGCAATGACGAGCGTGGTGGGGACCCAGAGGAGGACGCGGGGGAGCCCGTGATTGAGCCGTCGTGGCTCAGCGGCCCGGCTGGGCAGGGCTGTCCAGCGGAGATGGGCCTCCTGATGCTCGGAGAAAGTGCGGAGAACGAGGAGGAGGACGAGGAGGAGGAGGAGGAGGGGGAGTCACGAATTGTGAGCTATCCCACGTAGGTAGTGGGTGTCAACAAGCAGCGAGGAGCAGGAGCAGGAGGAGGAGGAGGAGGAGGAGGAGGATGAGGAGGGAGGAGGAAGGAGGACGGAGGAAGGAAGGAGGAAGGAGGGAGGAGGGAGGAGGAGGAGGAGGAGGAGGAGGAGGAGGAGGAGGAGGAGGAAGGAGTGGAGGAGGAGGAGGAGGAGGAGGAGGAGGCGACGGAGTAGTTTGAGGAGGAGGAGGAGGCGGAGGAGTAGTTTGAGGAGGAGGAGGAGGAGGAGGAGGAGGAGGAGGAGGAAGAGGAGGAGGAGGAGGAGGAGGAGGGTGGGTGGATGGTGAGGAGGAGGAGCAGGACCAGGGGCAGGAGGAGGACCGCCGTTGGAAGGGGAGCTTCTGGGGCGTGAGGCTCGATGCTTTCCCAGCGCCGTTCCTATTGGAGGGCCACCGCGTGTCCTCCTCGCATCGTTCGTGCTCCTCTCCCTTGGCTTCCTTCCCCTTCCTACGCTTGAGGCGGGCACGTCTCTCTACAGGGGGAATATCCAAGAATAGTCAAGCCATAGTTTGGGGACGAGTTTTCGAGTATTTGTCATTTTTCGCTTGACATCCGCCTGTAGGGGGACACTCCCGACGTAATCCTACGCGTCCCGCGTCAGATCTACGAGCTTTTCCGCCCCTCCTGGTGTCACCTGGCGCCCGGGAACCGATCCGGGGGGGGGATCGCATCGGTTTCAACAGCAAAACCAGCCAGGACCGTTTTCCAGCATCGCGGCGCCGAGGAGGATGAGCAGGAGGAGGAGGAGGAGGAGGAGGAGGAGGAGGAGAAGGCGGAAAAAGGTAGAAGGACATGAGTTTTGCTTCCGCCTCAGAAGCTGACGAACATCTCCTTCCCCGATCCTCCAGAGCCGAGATGACGACATGGCAGGAGGAGGAAGAGGAGGAAGCGGAGGAGGAGGAGGAGGCGGAGCAGACGGAAGAAGAGGAGGAGGAGGAGGAGGAGGAGGAGGAGGAGCGGCCACAACATTCCAGATAATTGTCGAAGACTAATCGGTATTGCAGGAGAAGGAGGTGAAGGGGGAGGAAGAGGGGGAGGAGGAGGATGAAGAGTAGGAGGTGGGGGGATGGTGAGGAGAAGGAGCAGGAGCGTCACCCACACCTCCTGGGAGCGTTCCAAGGTTTCCCGGCAATCCCCAGGGGTCGAGGGTCGAGGGCCAAGGGCCGAGGGTGGGAATGAGGACGATGATAATGATGATGCTGATGGTGATGCCGATGATCATAATGGTGATGAGGATGACGATGATGCTGATGCTGATGCTGATGATGCTGATGCTGATGATGCCGATGATGAGGAATCTGATGATGAGAATGACGATGCTGACGATGACGAGGGCGATGCCGAGGACGCTGATGATGATGATGATGATGATGATGATGATGATGATGATGATGATGATGACAATGACCATACTCAAGATGGAGATGCTGCTGAGGATGACGATTTCGATGATCCTGATCATGGGAATGATGATCACGAACAGATGCTGATGATGCTGATTATGACGATACCGATGACGGGGATGCTATCGATGCTGACGACGATGACACGGATGATGGTAATGATGTTGATACCGATGTTGAAGTTGATGCTGATGTTGATGCTGATGCTGCTGCTGATGCTGATGCTGATGCTGATGGTGAGGATACTGATGATGCTGACGATGATGGTGACGGCGATGATGCTGATGCTGATGCTGATGCTCATGATGACGGTGATGATGTCGATTATGCTGATGAGGTTGATGATGCTGATGCCGAGGATGATGAGGATGTTGGTGATGCTGATGATCCTGGTTCTGGCGACGACGATGATGACAACGATGACGACGATGAGTATGATGCTGCTGTCGCTGATGATGATGCTGATGATGCTGATGCTGATGATGCTGATGTTGATGATGATGATGATGATGATGATGATGATGATGATGATGATGATGATGATGCTGACGATGATGCTGATACTGATGACGAGTATGCTGATGCTGAGGATAATCGTGATGGTACTTCTGAGGGTGCTGCTGATACTGATGACGATGATGATGATGATGATGATGCTGATGATGATGATGATGATGATGATGCTGCTGATGAGGTTGCTGATGCCGATGATGCTGAGGATGATGGTGATGATGCTGATGCTGAGGCTGACGATGCTGATAATGATGCTGATGCGGATGCTGCTGCTGCTAATAATGATGCTGATGATGATGGTGAGGATCATGGTGATGATGATGCTGATGCCGATAATGCTGACGATGATTATGCTGATGATGCTGATGATGATGCTGATGATGCTGCTGCTGATGATGATGACGACGGTGATGGTGCTGCTGCTGCTGCTGATGATGGTGGTGGTGGTGGTGATGATGATGATGATGATGATGATGATGATGATGATGATGATGATGATGATGATGATGAAGGCGAGGAGGAGGAGGAGGAGGACCAAGAGGAGGAGGACTCTCCCCAAAACCGCCCGACAGCGTTCGAAGGCGGTCGAAGACCTCCCCCCCTCGATCCTCGAGGGCCGAGTGAAAGACATTGCACGAGGAGGAGGAGAAGGAGGAGGAGGAATAGGAGGAGGAGGAGGAGGAGGAGGAGGAGGAGGAGAGGGAGGAGGAGGAGGGGGAGGAGGAGCAGGAGGAGGAGCGTCCCCAATACCTCCCCAGAGCCCTTCTCGATCCTCGAGGGCCGAGGGTGCGACATTGCAGGAGGAGGAGGAGGAGGAGCAAGAGGATGAGGATGAGAAGGAGAAGCAGCGTCCCCTAAAACCTCCTTGACCCGTTCGAAGAGATCCCTCCCCGATCATCGAAAGCCAAGGGAAGACACTACAGGAGGAGAATGAGGAGGAGTGCCCCCAACACCTCCCGGGATCGTTCGGACACCTCCCTCCTCTATCCTCGGGGGCCGAGGGAAAGACATTGCACGAGGAGGGAAAAGAGTAGGAAGAGGAGGAGGAGGAGGAGGAGGAGAAGGAGGAGGAGGAGGAGGAGCGCCCTAAAAACCTCCTGCGGGCGTTCGGAACCTCCCCCCTCCCCGATCCCAGGGGGCCGAGGGCAAGGCGTTGCGACGCTGCAGGGGATGGGCAGGGGAGGCGGAGGGGGGAGCGTACCCCCGAACGTCTGCCGAGAGCCTTCGCGCACCTCCCCCCTCCAGCACTCGAGGGCCGAGGGCTCCCGCGCCCCGCGGCCCGCCCGCGTCGAGAACCTCGAGCTGATCCCTGCTGCCGTGCCGAAGGAGCCCCGGGGGGCAGCGGGGGGAGATCGGCAGCCGCGGGCCGCGGCCTGCTGAGACCGGAGGTGGAAGAGCGGGGAGGGGGAGGAGAGCGAGAGGGAGAGAGGGAGAGCGGGAGCGGGGAGGGAGAGAGAAGGGAGGAAGAGAGCGAGAGAGAGAGAGGGAGATCAGAGAGAGAGAGAGAGACAGAGGGAACGAGAGATGGCGCGGGGAGAGAGAGAGAGAGAGAGAGAGAGAAAGATAAAACAACAAAATGAACGACATACGGTAAGGAGCCCTTGCTTACCGTGTCGCGCCTCTGGTCCTGACCAACCACGCTCGGGTGCGATTAAGCACGGTCCCCGTCTCCACGCCTCAACGTCCCTCACGCGAGGCTGTGCGACACGCTGTCGGCTCACCAGGGCGTGCGTATCGTCCGGGCCGCCGCGACACGGTAGGCAAGCAATACATACCGTGTATATTCGCGCCTATATTCAAGTCGGGCACGTCCCTCTACAGGAGGAGTATCCAAACATAGTCAAACATACTCCTGGGACGATTTGGTTTACTATGTTTGGGCATGTTTGGATTATTGTTTGACTATGCTTCACTTGTCGTCCAAAATCCGCCTGTAGTGGGACATTCCTGACCTATATCTATATCTATATCTATATATATATATATAGAGAGAGGGGGAGAGAGCCTGACAGACAGGCAGGCAGGCACCCAGGCGTGCAGACAAGCAGACGGGCAGAGTCTGACCAGAGAGGTGGTGAGCGAGATAGCGGCAGGGAGAGAACAACACAATCAACACACACACACACACACACTTATACACACCCATACGTAGTGAGAGGGAGTGTTTGTACATGTATACATGCATATAGAGAGAGAGAGAGAGACATAGAGAGGGGTACGCAGGGAGAGAGAAAGAGACATAGAGAGAGAGAGAGAGAGAGAAAAGAGAGATAGGGAGAGAGAAAGGAAGAGAGAGGGAGAGGGGGATCGAGACGGCGAGACTGGGCGAGGGGTGCTAGTCCTCCTCCTTCCCCTCCTCCTCCTCCTCCTCCTCCTCCTCCTCTTCCTCCACCTTCTCCCCTCGAGTACTCTTCGGGAGGGTCAGGGATTCGTGGGGCCGTTTCTCATCGTCGGGAGGAGTGCCCTGCCTCTGGACGTCGGCAACAGATACCCCATAAGCGTCCATTGGTTTGTTATCGGTTGTGACTAGAGCTGGTCCTGTAACTTCCTGCTCCTTTTCCCTTCTCATTCTCCTCCTCTCCCTCCTCCTTCTCCCCTCGTCCTCCTCCTCCTTCTTCCCCTCTGCCCCTCCCCCTCCTCCTCCTCCTCCTCCTCCTCCTCCTCCTCCTCCTCCTCCTCCTCCTCCTCCTTCCGTAGCCATTTTGGCCCAAGATGCCTTGTTCCTCGGGGTCAGAGTGGAGACCTCTGATCCGAGGACAGCTCTCGCCAGCCTCCAGCTACAGGGACGCGCACCCCCCTGGAGTGCCGATACTACCGCATGCCTACTGGAGAGCGTGTTGGCTCCGCCCCGCGCCGTGTCAAGAAGAAGGCACAGGGCAAGCTCCAGAAGTCCGCTCGTGGCGAGGATGCTTGGGAGACCGTGGATGTCGCTGATGACTCAAATGATGATGGCGCTGCTGCGTCTGGCAATCACCCTTCTGGCGCCCATGGTCCTGCCCCTGCACAGGCTCGCGCTGATGGTGATGAGGGGCATGGTGACGACATGGAAGAAAGCGACGAGGAGCACGACCGCGACGCCTACGTTCAGCGGCTGGCAGGCGACCTCGTCTCCAAGAAGATGGCCGAGCACAGGGATGAGCTCATCAAGGACCTCGCGGCTGTGGTCTCCACGACGTCTCCGAGCAGGTGCAGAGTTTCGCTTCTCAGCTTAATGAGCATGCTGCATCTGCTAGCAAGCTCGTGGAAGGACTTCGGATGCTGCCTCAGATGGCCCGCGACGCCTCCGAGCAGTTCTGCTCCGACAAGCTCGACCAGTTCCAGCGCAAGTTCCAGGCTCAGCTCGATGGACATACGATTCGACTGCGCGCTTCTGAACGACGCCTGGATGAACACGATGCCGTTCTGCAAACCCTCAAAGAACATATTGAAGAGCTCCGTGGTGCCTTGGCGCTTGCCGGCAAGGCGCCGAAGCCTCCGCCTGCCAGTGCTGCGGGCTTTGAGCGCTCCGTTGACGCCACCATCATTCGCGTCATGGCCTCCAAGTTGGTCGAGCTGGACAAGGTCAAAGAGACTCTCACGGAGTGGATTGCCACGGTGGGAGTGGAGGCCAAGCACTTCGAGATCACCTCCGAGGAGAGCGTCGCCCGCCAGTTCACGATCCAGTTCACAGGCGCTGTTGGCCCTGCCGCTCGCAGGGTCGCCAAGGTCTTGGGCGCCCAACGCATCTCAGCTGGCAATTGGAAACGTTTCGAGGTGGTGGCCACTGATAACTTGCCAGCCACGCTCCACATCGGCGCTGACAAGAACCCAAGGCAGATCAAGCTCGAGATCCAAGGGCGCAAGATCCGTTCGGCGTTCGCTGACATCGTCAGCGACAAGAAGTGGCTCTTCGACCGCGACAGGGGCTACATCATGGCAGGCTGGGACCCTGTCCTGCGCATCTCGCCCAGCCCTGGCAACATCTCCTCCGAGGTCGCCTGAGCTGACAACTTGGTGCAGAAGCTCGGGCTCCCCAAGGATCGTCTGGCCGAAGCTGTTCGCGCGGTGGTTGCGCCGCCTGAAGCAGCAGAGTGGAATATTTAACGGCTTTGCCTCCGCCATTCATGGTCCTCTGGCTGGTGCACCCTCCTTCTCATTTTCCTCGTGGAATGCTCGCGCCCTTCTTCAGTATCGCGCTGCTCAGGCCCGTCCCAAGCTTGCCTACCTCAAGCGCCTGGACTTCGCTCGAGGCATCGTCGCCAGGAGCAGCTAGCGGACTCTCTTGCCAAAGTGTTTCCGAAGGCTCGTATTTACACCAGTTACTGTGAGGGGTCTGCAGTACGGGGTGGTGTGGCGACGATTCTCCCTTTATCATGCGAGTCCTCTGCTCATCGCCGAGAGCTGGTTCGGGGGCGCGTTCTTCGAGTAGTTCTTTCTTCGGAAGGTGTTCGCATTTTTCATTTCAATGTACGCAGCCGTGATCTTTCTCCTGGTCAGCTCTCTTTGGTCACAAAGGTTTTGGCGACTGACCTTTCCTGTGCTCATGCGGGCCCGCTCCACAACGTGGTGGTAGCCCACGGCGACATGAACTTTGCTCCTCGGCCTCCTCTGCTTCTTCATCAGCCTGATCGCCACCTCCGCGAAGGCAAAGGCCAGCATGCTCAGGCGGCACGTTGGAAGCGGGCCCTTCAGGATATGATGGAGGTCTCCTCGGACGAACCTACTCATTACGATCGGCTTTCGCACTCAGTCTCTATTTTGGACCGCTTCTGGCGCAGCTGGCCTGGGTGGATTATGGCGCAGATTACTTCCGAGCCCTCTGTCGTGGATTGCCCTGAGGCTCTTGCAGATCGTTGTGTGAGCGACCACGCAGCGCATGTTGTTCGGCTCACCCAGCGTCTAGCGAAACCTCGTAAGCAGCAGCGGATTCCTCGTCATCTCCTTGAAGCTGTGGGCTATCGACAACGGCTTGAAGCGGTGCGTCCCAAACTCGACTATGCCAGCAAAAGTCCTCCGCGCCAGGTGGAACTTCACAAGTGGGCATTACGTGAAGTAGCTGCTGACTTTCGTGACAGACAATTCACGCGTGCACCTGAATCGCTTCACTCTCTACTTCTTCTGGCCCGTCAGATTGCTCGAGTAGTTTGGCGCAGCGACTTTCGGTTGGCCTCCCTGCTGGTTTCTAATCGCTCTTCGGCGGCTGACTTTCTTGACCTATCACGGCGCAGAGTCCAACTTCGACACCCTGCTTCTTTTCAGAGCTGGTTGCGATGATATCCAACGACGGCATGCCGATCATCTTCGTCGACGCCTTGAAGAACAACTTGCGCGGCCACAGGCTCCTCGGGCTCTCCGGCACCAGCTGGCTGCGGTCGAGCGCCGTTCAGCAATTTGGTTTCCCTTGAACCGTCGTCTGGTCCTTCGCGCAGTCAAACACCCCAATGGCACCACACGTGCATCGAGTGACTCGGCTGTTATGACGCAGCGCTTGGTTGACCACTGGGCTCCGATCTTCAGGGCGAAAAGTATTGACCAGCAATTGACGCAGTCTTACATCGAGCAGCACGCCCCACCGCTGGACTTCGCGCGGGTGGCGCCACCGTCCCCTGCTTTGCTTCGTCGTGTTGCTCGCAAGATGCATTATTCGGAGTTCCATATTCAGCTTGGGCAGCACCTGATATTGGCCTTGATGTTCTGGCTGAAGCCATGATGTGGATCATGAGTGGGCAGTTCCTGTTCAAGAGCTCCAATGACACGCTCCAAGTATGGCTACCTAAGGGCGAGGAGGGACGACTCCTGGGCCACTGGGTGCACTCGTGCCCCGAGCTCGGTTCGTGTCCTGGGCCTCCGCAACACAGACATCAAGCTGATCACGGCGACTATCAACCTTCAGTTCTGCAAGCTGCTCATGGACTGAGCGCCGCGGTCTCAACGGGGCTTCATTCCCAAGCGCAACTTCGGCACCAACATCTTAGAGCTTGACGTGGCCTCCCGAGTTTACTCCAACGCCCCCGGCGCCACTACAGATATGCCCGCCCTCGTCGCGCTGGATTTTGGTGCGGCCTTCCCCAGCCTCGCTCAAGCTTTTATGACTATGGTCTTCCAGCGGATGCGCCCGCCCTTCGCCTTCATGGCGGTATTGGAACAACTTTGCCGCATATTGGATGCGCTGGTCATGCTCAACGGGACTCCTACCCTTGCATGGCGTACTTCGTCTGGCATTATCCAGGCCTGCTCTTTGAGTGGATCTATCTATGCAGCGGTGACGGCCTGCTTCCTGTTTGACTTGCAGAAGCGGCCGGAGGCGCCACGGCTGGGGTTGGCTCGAGCGTGCGCGGATGATATAGGCTGCGTGGTCAAAAAGCTGTCCGCCATCAGCATCGTTGCCGATGTCATGCGCACCGCAGAGGCTATCGCCACACTGTCGCTCAAGCTCACGAAGTGTATGCTGGTTCCGCTACATGCTGCCTTATCGTCGACTCTTGTGGCAGAAGTCCGCACGGCGATTACCTCCTTGGTCCGTTTCTTCGCGAACATTCAGATTGTCAGTACTCTGGTCTATCTCGGCCTTGTCCTGGGCCCTGCTGCTGACGACGATTCATCCTGGTTGACACCCTCTATCAAGGTCAATCTCCGCTCGAAACTGGTTGGTGGCGGCCCGATGGCGGTCTCTCGGCTTGCTACGCACTATGCGACTCGTATCACGCCCGTGCTCTCATACGTTGCGCAGTTCAGGATGATGCCTCCCTGGCTTCTTCGTGAGGAGCTTCTCGCTCTGGCACGCACTTTCAGGGTCCCGCTGGGTGTTTTCAACATATCGGCCTGGCTTCAACTACGTGGTGCAGGTGGTCCGTCTGTTCCTTCGTGGCTGGCATTGAGCTTGGGGGCTCTCAACCGCACGGCATGATCGACGCTACCCACTTTCTGCCATCTACATGACTGGCTCCGTCGCCAACATGAACGCCTTGGTGATCACCGCTCACTCTCGCAGACGGCTTCGGGGCGTCCTTACCCTCATTTTTGGAAGTCCGAAGCCTTTGTGGAGACTCTGCAGCGGGCTGTGGAGGCATCTTCGATCAGGGCTTTTCCAGCGTACACTACGCAACGTCTTACTACCGCGACTGCCGCCGCCACAGCCTGGCTGACTGGCAGAGAGAGGGCATCGGGACTTCAAAGGCACATCACTGCGACGGTTCGCAAACTTCTGGTTCCGCACCCACTTTGGGACTGCTTCGTGGGCAGGCTGGTGCGCGCCTTCCCTCATGTGGTCGATGGGGGTCGCTCGCTTATCCCGTCAAACCGTTGGACACACATCATGAAGTACCTTCGAGGCTGCTCCATGCCCTGAGCGTTTGCTTACCTCAAGACAGTTGCCAACGGATGGTTGGCCTCGCGCCGCAACCTGCAACCGCATGGGAGGCTGTGCTGTCGCTTCGGATGTGTTGACCAACCTGATGCTTTGAAGCATTATCTCGAATGTGTTCCGTTCAGGCGGCTGGTGGAGCAGGTACTTGGCTACTCGCGGCCTGCCTCTGCTCTGGGACGGCTGGGCCTTCTCGGCAGTGCTGTTCAACTTGACCGCGTCGTGTTCGACGTTGTCGTGATGTGCTACACCTACGCTGCGGCGGCTCATGGCACTAGCTCGCACATGTGGTCTCCCTCGGCTGCGCGCTCCTTTGTAAAGGCGGCGGCGCGCACCGCGAAGCTGGGAGCCTCTTCGCATGCCCGTGCGCCGATGGTGTCGTCGGCTACATCAAACCACTTGCAGCCATCACCCTCGGTGTCCTCGGAGTCATCCACATCGTCCTCCCCCTCTGGCTCATCTTCTTCGACGTCATCACCGCCTTCGTATCCGTCTCCTTCGGGGACTACCGATGTCAACATTGTTGTTGCTGCTTTTGCGTTGGAGCCATCGCTACCTGACACGGAAAGCGCGCCCCTCAATGGACCATTTGTATCGACAGCTCTGGCTCAAGAGACACTTGAGGCCAGCACGTACGACTCGCCCCTCACCGTTGTCGACAACATGTGGGCTATGGGGCTCCTCCACGTTCATGCTTGCGCGGCGAGCCTCGCTTGTGGCCCCTACTCTACGCCTACGGCACCTTCATCTTCTTCGTCTTACCCTGCGGGCAACACAGCGGTCTGCAACAACGTGATCGTCGTGGACTCAGAGCCCTCCGACGACAACTACATCTGCGACACCTTGGCGATGCAGACGCACGGCGCCTCAGGCTCGTCCCCGTCGGCCCTTCCGTCAGGCTTAAGTGAAGCACTTCGCCGACATGAATCGTACCAATCATTGGTGAGCACGGTGGCTCGTTCGTCACAAGCTTGGGTCCCGTCCCCCGCGCTCTCTACTCCAGGCAACGACTTCGACCAGTTGATGTCATGGTGCCCCCCATATCTTGATGGAGTGCTACGCTACGAGGATGTCGGCGCTTTTCTTCAGCTTGTTCATGATAGGCCTGGCTTGAGTGGCGCTCGTCGTCTGGTGGCATCGGAGGTTTGTCTTCATGGATGGTACTTGGGAGCTGGCCCCCGAGAAAGGTTTCGAAGTCGGCATTGCGAGACATGGGCCGTCCGTGATGACCTTCGCTTGCGTCAGGTTCGTCGCTGTGGACTTTGCCTCCTTCGGCAAATGGCCTGGCGTCTTGATCTGTCTTGCATGCCCTCTACTGCCCGTGCAGACTACTTGGCGAAGCAGAGCTCTTGTAACTCAGATTGCGTACATGCTCTTCTCCCGCATCTTCACTTACCGCCACATCGTGCCTCACCTGCTTCTCTGCCTGCACGCGACGCGATCGAGGAGCCAGCTCCTGATGAAGACGATCTGAGTTTTGGGGAAGACGGCTTCCCCACCCCGACGGCACTGGACTTAACCGTGATGGAGGAGGACGCTGAGGTGACTACGGTGGCACCTGGTGGCGATGGCCCCGTGCCTGCGCACCTCGATGATGAGCAGATGTCGGCGGACGAGTACAGGCGCCACT